ACAGGATAATAAAAAGCTTAATTAGTTGGTCATTAATATTCAGTTCATTCAATTTGTTATTCTCCCGAGGGTACTACATTAGCATCTAGTGGTAATTTAGAGAACTCTATCCGTTTATGGGATGTTAAGACAGGATAATAAAAAGCCTAATTAGATGGTTATTCATTAACAGTTATTTCAATTTGTTACTCTCCTGATGGTAATACGTTAGCAACTGGTAGTTCAACTACCCATATTCGTTTATGGGATGTTAAAACAGGATAATACAAAGCCAAATTAAATGGTCATTTAATTCCAGTTACTTCAATTTGTTACTCTCCAGATGGTACTACATTAGCATCTGGTAGTGCAGATAGTTCCATCCGTTTATGGGATGTTAAGACAGGATAACAAAAAGCCAAATTAAATGGTCATTCATTAGCAGTTAATTCAATTTATTACTCTCCTGATGGTACTACATTAGCATCTGGTAGTGATGATAACCATATTCGTTTATGGGATGTTAAGACAGGATAATAAATCGTATCTTCAGATAATTGTTATCAAGATATTGTAGCTTAATTTTCATCTCAAAACTTTAACAACAACTTAATTCAAGAAAGTGGTATTTATTTTCTTCATTATATAGTAAATTCTCCTGTTAATTACCTTGTCATATCAAATTAGCTTGAATTTCGATCTTAAGGCACTTTAATTTTGAAAGGGGAATTAATTAATCAATCTGGTATAGACTTGAGGACATTATTTAAACAAAGAGGAAGTTTCATTTTAGAGAACCATATTGAATTATAAAAACGATGAGAATTGATTAATATTTATAATCATTTAATACATTAACATATTTCAGAATCAACTCATCAAAAATGTGAAACAAACAAAATACAGAGAACGAATTAATACATCTTTACGATGCTAAATTGAATAGAAAAGATAATCAAACCCTCAATTAAAAATTATTAGTCAGCTTTAAGAAATCATCGATTTACTTATGGTCATACCTGCATAGTTTTTTGACTCACAAATTGGAGGGGGGATGATACTTACATAGTTTTTTGACTCATAAATCCGGATGTGGAACCTACATCCTGAATATAGTAGGGGTTTTCCCAAGCCCCTAGGACCGGAATTTGAATATCAGTCTTTGGAATGTACAATCATCAAAAGAAATACTCAATCAGATAGTAGCTATAAAGAATTTCTCTCCTAGTTTAAGATACTTCTTCAGAATAGCTCCTTATTGCCAAATGGTATTTATTATTAATTATTATTTAGTTAATCCTGATCGTAAAATACATGGAATATGTTAGAATCCTTTATTAGAAGCATCAGGAACACTTATCCTATAAGGACAATTAATTAATCATTGAGGGAATGATTTGAAACCATTGTTTAAAACAAAAGGAAGTTGCTTTTTAGAAGACTTAAAGCAAAAGTGAATTTGAATATTTATTAAAAACATTACAATTATAAATTTAATCATTTCATGATAACTTTTTTGAATAATATGTTGTTTTTGTTTCAACTCTTATCTTCAAATTCTTAAGATTGATAAGTACATGTTTTTCAACATTACTGGTAAATATTGAGATGTCAAGAAACAACAGTTATAAATTAAGTACTATAGTCTGTTTAGAAAATAAATTTAATAGTGCATTGTTTTCTATAAATATAGGTTAAGTCTTAAAAATGATAATTCATAGTTTAGTAAAATTTATTTTTTTTTCTAGATACAATTCATAACAAAAGATAAAAAAGAATAAACCTAATTCTAGAAATAATCTAAAGTATAGCATAAAATTACTCTACTCTATTCTTGATAATATTTTCATAATCTGTAATTATTATTTTCAATTAATATTAAAAGTATTAGATATTAAATATGACTGAAAATATATATAAATCATGTATAAGAAACAAAGAACAAAAATTAAATCATGTAAACTTGTTTAATAAATCATAAAAATATTAAAAAGAATTATGAGGCATATCAATCGTTTACAAGGATAAATAAAAATTAAATTAAAGTGTTATCCTATAATTAATAGTTTAATTTCTCTTCTTCTCTTTTGTTATCTTCCATTCACATTCATAAGTGAAAGTTACTATGCTTAGAATTGTTTTAAATAATTTGCTTTATAGTTTTTAAGTTTGGATAATTGACAGCTTTAAGTTCATATACTGTTAAAAAATCAATATTATTTCAAGTCAATTTCATAGAATAAAAAGTCAATAGCAATTATAATAAAAAGGCATATTTGATAAACATAATACAATTAGTTACAGGGTTACTAAAACTATTTTATATAATAGGGTAATAATTTTTGGTTCAAAGAACATGCCATTCTAATAAATTTCTAAATTTAAAGATCACAATAATATAAACTTAAAAATTATCCCAAATAACTAACAAAAAAGAGCAATTTTATTTCAATTAAGATGTTGAATTAATTTGACAAAACTATGGAAAGTTAGAATTATTAATTCACAATATCAATTCAACTTTAGAACATTTTTGAACCAAAAATACTGTTTTTAGTTTATATTAATATTGCCAACGAATTCAAGAATTATTACACCTAGTAATATAAATTTCAAGAATGTGCATTTATTTAATAAAAATAAAATAATAAATGTATCAAAAAATCCCAATTACTTTGTTTAGGGTAAGCAAGATTGGTATAAAAAAATACGCAACCAATAAAGTCTAAACAAGTAAATACACATGGTTTAATTTTGTTCCAAAAAATATATTAGAACAATTTACTAAGCAAGCAAACTTATATTTTTTAGTAAAATATATTATTATATCAAGATTTTAGCAGTTTTATAAGCAATACCAATTATTTCAATATCGGATGGTTAACCGACAATATTGCTACCATTGATTTTCATTTTGATTGTTACCATGATGAAGGATTTATATGAAGACACAAAAAGAAAAAAAAGTGATAGTTAGGAAAACGAGAATACATGCCTTTTAGAATCAGGCTAAATTTTATAATGGCAGGAGATCCGTGTAGGTGAAGTTCTGAAAGTAAAAATCTGATCTAACAAGATAAGAGAAAATGAATAGTTTCCGTGTGATGTCTTGCTTCTAAAGAGTGTTCAAAAAACAGGGGAATGTTATATTGAGACAAAAAATTTAGATGGTGAAACAAACCTGAAATAAAAAAAAGTTCCATAAATCCTTTTATAATAAGGAGCTGAAATTTTTAATCACATAGTAGTCTAATACGATATGCCTAACAATTAGCTATATAAATTTTCAGGCTCCTGTTATTTTAACTTGGATAAAATTTAAGAAAATGATATTTTTTCGCTATTGAACCAAAAGGAGAATTTGAATGATTAATTAACAACTCTGCAATCTTAGAGGAATAAGGATTAATAAATAAATCTTATAATATCTTAAGTAAGAACTTTGGAAGAAGAAATAGAAAGAATTAGAATTTAAAAAATTGCATTAGATAATAATAATATCATTTTAAGAGGAAGCATTTTAAAAAATACAAGTCACATTATTTGTTTGGCATTATATACAGGGCACGATACTAAAATAATGAAAAATACAATCAAAGTCAAATATAAATAAAGTTCACTTGAAAAGTAACTGGGAAAAAGAATCATATTTATTTTTCTTCTTTAGTTAGGTATTTGTCTTTTTTCTTCTCTATATTATTCGATTTGGTTTAATGAAAATTATGAAACTTTGACTTATTTAGAAATAAAGAAATCAACTTATATTGACAATTCTTTTGCCTACAATTTTTTTGTAAGATTAGGAAATTGGATATTAATGTTTGGGTATTTTTCGTGTTTATATAGAAATCTTGTTCCAATATCTTTACTAGTAACTTTAGAAACAGTTAAATTTTGTCAAGCATTTTTGATTTAATTTGATAAGAAGATGAGTTTAAATGAATAAAGATGTTCGGTTTAATCCTCAAACTTAAACGAAGAATTAGGACAGATTAGATATGTTCTCAGTGATAAAACTGGAACCTTGACAAAAAATTAGATGATATTTAAGAAAATATGTATAGATGGGACTTCCTATGGTAATGATTATCAAAATATTTCACCCATTGATTTTGTATAATTTGATGATTAAACTTTTATAGATAAATTAAATTAAAATAATCCTATTATAGAGAAAACATTATTATTAATAACTTTATGCCATTCTGCAATAATTTAGAAAATTCAAGATGAATTATATTATAATGTTACTTCTCCTGATGAATTAGCTTTATTAAATTTTGCTAAAAAATTTTAAATCACATATAATGGGATTGATGAAAACAACATAATAACAATAAATTATAGGGGGAAGCAAAAATAGTTTTAATTCCTATATTTATTTGAATTTACGAGTGAAAGAAAGTGCAGTTCAGTACTGGTATGTGAGAAGGAAACAAATATAATTTATTTATTCTCAAAAGGAGCAGATTCTGTAATGTTATAGAAATAACTTCACTAAAATATTGAAAAATCTAAGAATTAGTTCAACAAATATATATCGGAATACTCTGAAAGAGGACTAAGAATTCTACTTTTAGGGTATAAAGAAATACATTGGAGTGAATATGCTTAATGGGAATCTTTATATAAATAAGTAATTACTCAGATGGAAGACANATAAACACATTGAAAAAAGAGAGAATCTAAAACTGCATTGAATTTTTCTACTAAGATCAAAACAAATTCCTTTTAGAAATAGAAAGTTAAAAGGTAGAAAGCTAATCTCTGCTTGAGAAATAATAGACTATTAATGGAGAGAAGAACATTAAGATAATAACAGATGTCCTCAAAAAAGTTAGGGATCATGACTTTAATACACAGAATTACTCTATGGATGATTATAAAGAATTTAAAAAGGATCTAATCACAAAAATATCATTGAATAAAAAGATAATAGAATTCCTAAATTTTTTAGTTCAACTGACTGCTTTAGATGAGAAATATATTTAGTGTGGATCAAATTCTCTTCATTTGCTTTTATTAATGAAAGTGGATTTGAGGGAATAAAGTTTTGAGAATATCAGGATAAGAAATACCTCTTTAGTTGGTGGAAATTTTGTAAGATGCATATTCAATGGATCAGAATTTGACAATGTAAATATTAGTGGAATGAACTTGAATCATGCTTTATTGTTTAATTGTAAATGGAAAAATATCAAAATCAACGAGTTAAATACATTATATGGTCATCATGGAAGTGTCAATTAGGTGTGCTATTCTCCAGACGGTAATTTATTAATGTCTTGTAGTGATGATAATTCGATTCTAATATGGGATGTTAAAACAGGAAAAATTAAGTCAAGAATCAAGGTAAAGGAAGAAGTAAAATCAGTATGCTTCTCACATAATACTAGTACATTAGCTTTCAGCAGTGGAAAAATTGTATATTTATGGAATCTTAAAACAGGATAATAAAAAGCCAAATTAGATGGTCATTCATCATGGGTTAATTCAATTTGTTACTCTCCTGATGGTACTACATTAGCTTCTGGTAGTAGGGATAACTCTATCCGTTTATGGGATGTTAAGACAGGATAATAAAAAGCCAAATTAGATGGTCATTCATATACAGTTAATTCAATTTGTTACTCTCCTGATGGTACTACATTAGCATCTGGTAGTTGGGATAACTCTATCCGTTTATGGGATGTTAAGACAGGATAATAAAAAGCCAAATTAGATGGTCATTCACATTGGGTTAATTCAATTTGTTACTCTCCTGATGGTACTACATTAGCTTCTGGTAGTAGGGATAACTCTATCCGTTTATGGGATGTTAAGACAGGATAATTAAAAGCCAAATTGGATGGTCATTCAAATTTTGTTTTGTCAATTTGTTACTCTCCTGATGGAAATACATTAGCTTCTGGTAGTGGTGATAACTCTATTTGCTTATGGGATGTAAAAACATCAAAGGAAATACTTCAATCAGATAGTAGCCATTAAAATTTGCTTGCCTAATTTATGATACCTCTTTAGAATAGCTCCTAATTGCCAAATGGTATGCAATATTTATTATTATTTAGTTAATCCTTATTGTACAATACTTAGAATATGCTAGAATCCTTTATTCCAAGCATCAGGAACACTTATCTTATAAGGACAATTCATGAATTATTAAGGGATAGATTTAAAACCATTGTTTAAATCCAAAGGAAGTTGCTTTTTAGAAGACTTAAAAAAAAAGCACAAGTGAGTTTGAATATTCATTATACAATTATATTTTTAATCATATTCTTATAACTTTTAGAATAAAATGTGTTTTTTATTAGTATTTAAATATTTGAATTGAGATGTTAGAAACAACGTTTATATATTAATATTTATAGACGTATACACTATTAAATTTATAATATAAACAGAGTAAACAGGTTTAGTTGTAATAAAGATTATTATATAAGAAGTAAGATACATTTTCAAGAATTGAAAAATAAACTTAATCTTGGAAATAATCTTAAATGATGACAAAATTGAAACATTGGGATTGAATGATTTTTAAAATTACTCTAACCTAATCTTGATAATATTTTCATAACCTGTTATTTATTATTTTCAATTGATATTAAAAGTATTAGAGACAATAAAGGACTGAAAAGACATATTAATCTTCAATCAATATTTCAACCTCTAGAGATCTTAATTATATGCATCCCTAACAATAATCCTAAATAAGCTCTATATGAACTACATCCAAAGTAGCTACTTTCAATAATAATTTTGCGTATAATGAACACACTCAGATCAGAACTATTTAATCTTACCTCAAACTGATTTTTTTACGAATTAATTCATATCTACGCAACGATAATATCAGTCAACTAGTTCAATTTTATTAATTGATTATGAAATTAAGAAATTACCATTTTAAAAAAATAACAAAATTGTTCTTCTCTATAACTTTGAGTTTAACTCAATTAGACAATAAATTTTTTGAATTAACTAAATTTATTGATATTATGTAAATGTAGATGTATTTTCTCTTAAAAAGTTTG